AACAGACCTGCTTATAATTAATTCGTTTTATTGTTTTTACTTCTCTAGAGAATGTTTACACCCTCATTGCCTATACCCATGGTGGACTGCTTTCACTGACCTGGCCTTGGTATGCCAATAGTTTCCTCAGAAAGTCAGTTTTTACAGTTTTGTTCTAAAACTTTCCTAGAAGCCCAGTAGCATCTACTTCTCTAGCCTTGCCCACAATTTTGTAATAAGTGAATTTCCTTTATTAATTTTATTTTTTCCAGTGGAATGACATTTTTAATATGCTTAAAGAAATAACTGATAAGCTGAAAATATCTTTTAAGAATGAGAAACACTTACAGACATTTTCAGATATCCACTTCTCCCCGCAGATAACAGAGTTTAGCTCTAGGAACCCACAATAAAAGATGCTCTATTGGATATATTTCAGGCAGAAGAAAAGTAATTTTAGATGGAAGAATTGGGATGGGAGAAAAAAGAAATAGCAAAGATAGTGAGATATGTAAGGTCAGTTTTAAATAAATATTAATAATAATAATATTTTGCAGTTTTATAAATGCAAATATACAAATAATTACCAGAGTCAGGGGAGGATTAAAGAAGTTAAAAGTTTTAAGGACCTATATGAGTATGGAAGGTGAAGACAATGAGTAATTTTTAACTTTGACAAGGTAAAGACACATGTCAGAACTTCCAAAATAAGCATTGAGAGAAGTATAACCTATAAACTAGTGGAGTACAAAGGACTCTAAATTATCCAAAAATAGGTAAGGGTGGAAAAAATTTAGAACAGGTGCAACATAACACAGATAAACTGTGGATTTAAGTCAAAAATATTAGTAATGAATAACATTAAATATAAGAAAGCTAAAGATTCCAGTTAAAGAAAAAATTATAGGGATTAATCAAAATGAAGAAATGTGAGCTATGGTTATACATAAAATTCTGCAACCCAAACTGGAGGAAACATATTCTCTTAGTATGTATAAAATATTGACAAATATTGGACTTATAATGGGTCTTTAAGAAAAATTCAAATGATTGAAATTAAAAAGTGTATAATCTTTAACCACAGTTCAGTTAAATCATGAATCAATAATAAAACAACCTTACATTACTTTATATTTGTAAATTAATAGACGTGTTTCTAAATAAGTCATAGATCAAAGAAGAAATCGATGTGAATTAGAATACATTTTGTTATGATAATAATTAAATTAGTACATATTCAAACATGTAAGATATAGCTATAGGAACATTAACAATAAAATTATAGCATTCAAGTCACGTATTGGACAAGAAAGCCTAACTATTAATAAGGTAATAATATACTCAAGATATTAGAAACCAAGGAGTAAAAAGAAAGAAGAAATAATAAAGACATAAGAATGGAACACATTCAGTAAAGATAACAACAAAAAAAGCAAAAAATGGCAAAGACTGCTTCTTTCAAAAGCTAATACAAATTTCCAAACTTTTGGCAAGACTCATGGAGAAAAAGAACCTACAAATAACCAATATAAGAATTGAAATTAGAATATACTAAGAAACTATAGAGATTAAACATTAATATGATGTCAGGTATGGTGATATATGTTTGTAATCCCATAAACTGTGGAGGCTGAGGTAGGAGGATCACACAGGTTTGATGTCAGGTTGTACATCTTAGCAAAACTGATTTCACAGATTCAGTTCATGTTTGGCCATCTCCATTGCTCTGGGCTGGTGGTGAGATAGAACATCATGGCAGAAAGGCATGGAGGAGTAAGCTTCTCAGCTCCTGGCAGCCAGGAAGCAGAAAGCTCTATTAAATTTCTTTTTGTTTAAACTAATTACCTTTGTATTTTAACCAACCAACTAACTAGTATAGTTATGTGCAACTAAACCCTGACTTATACAAACAATAAGGGAGAGATATATGTACTTAGAGCAAGAGCTGTTGAAAACATTTATTATTCTTATGTTTATTCATTAATTCAACAAGTACTTAAGGATCTCTCTCCATATATAGCTTTTATCCTTAGGGATCCAGTTCTTCTTGTCCATCTTTTCTGCTACTGTGCATGTTAACTTCGTCCTTATACTGGTAGTAAGAAGGCTAAAATTTATCTAGAGACAGTAATGGTCAGAGGAAGTAGGGAGAACAGTTCTTTCTTAGGAGTATGTTGATTGCTGTGATATTTCAGCTATACTTACAGGTGATCAATAGGAGAATGGAGAAGGGAATACTTCCTGGTATGCAAAAGTTTGAGCAGTATAGCTGGTTATCCCTTTTGCCTGGAAGTTATCTTATTTGCTTGGAAGAAGAAGTTTGGCTTCAGAAGTTTTAATCCATGTTACTTGGCCCTTTTGTGGCATAGTATATCATGTGGGAGTGTGTAGCAGAGGAGGCCTATTTACTTCAAGGTAACCAAGGGAAAAAAAAGGAAGGGGACAGGAATGCAATATTCCCTTAAGACCATGACCTCAATTACCTAACTTCCTTCCACTGGGCCTCACCTCTTAAAGGTCCCACTGCGTCCAATGGTACTGTAATCTGACAACCAAGCTTTTGAAACATGGACTTTTGGGGGACAATTTTGAACTATACCATTATTTAAGAGAGGAATTTTTTTTCAGGGAACACAATCATGATTACATTGAATTAGAATTTGAGACTGCCAGCATGGTAGGAAGTCAGCAAAAAAGAGAATTACTTTGTTGGTTAGTGTGATTGCTGTTGTTCATCATTTGGAGTTACACATTGACCCACTGAGACATCTTTGGTATTATTTTCATTGTAAAAATGAACATCTTTGTACATCTCTCTTTGTATACATAGTGAAATAGTAAATACCTAAAATGGAATTTGAGTCACAGAATAGGTGAATATTTAACTTTACAAGGTTTTGTCAAAGGAAAAAAAAAACAAAACACCCTGTCATTGTACCCATTTGCACCCCCATGAGCAATGATTAAATTCCTATTTCTGTAAATTCTTGGTGTTATTGATTTTTCTAAATCTGATAAAGAGTGAAGTGATATGTTATTGATTCAATTTGTATTCCCCTGATCACCTGAGGTTGAACATTTTTTCATTTTTGTCTATGCTGATATATTTATTTATTGTGGTATAATTATTCAATAACACAGGAAAATAAAAAAGATACCAAGCAAGTTAGTTACAAGTCGTATATAGAGGATGACTTCACTTTTGTTAAAAAAAAAAAAATTAAGTGAATCAACAGGCATACAGAAAACTGGAAGATTATATACCAAATTATCAACAGTATTACTTCAGTACAGTGATTAAATATTTTTCCTTTGTTTTTGTGTTTTTGAAACACAATTATTTCTGAAACAAACAATAGGTGCTAAAGAGAGATACAGTTATTAAAAACAGGAGTTAGGAATGCAAGAAGCCAAGCCAGGTGCCTAGTTGTCAAGGTCTGAAACCCAAAGCAAATCCATCCAGGTGACAACATTCAAGGCTAGAGGTGGAACACTTTTCTTTTCTTATTGAAATGGTATTTATCCAATTGTTTCCTTTAATTTGTGATGATATCTATGTAATTACATTTAAAGGGACTTTATGAATATTAAGTGGCACCATAGCAAAATGATGCTAGCAACATTGGTTTTGAGTTGCTATAAAAGGCAATTATTTTACAGTAGTTTATGTGGTAGTATTTAAAAAAAAAATAGTGTCAATTCTCTGTTTTCCACAAGAACAGTAGTTATATTCTGGGCAATGATATGTACCATATCACAATTCAATTTTTTTTTCATTTTTTGTTTTGTTTTCATGAAAGAGGAAAGCCAGTGCAGGATTTTAAATTTATATTTGATAATCTATAAAAGATGCTATGCTCTGAATATGTTACCCAAATTTCACATGTTAAAAACATAATTCCCGTATTATTTTCTTAATGGCACTTGGTTGTGTAACCTTTGGAATAACCAGGATAAGAAGAAGTCATGGAGGTGGGGCCCCACGGTAGCATTAGTAGCTTTATAAGGAGAAAAGAGATCTGAGTCAGCAGCTTGCTGTGTCTCAAGTTGTGATGCTCTCTGCTATGTTATGATGCAGGAATAAACCTTAGGTGTAATAGTAAGAATTTTGATCTCTGAGTTACTGTTAGTAAATTGGGTGTCCAACAGTATAATGTGGATTGCTTAGGAGTGTTGCCTGTTTAGAGCAACTCCAAATACTGCAGTTAAGTATGGGTCACAGCATGCCAAAGCTAGGAGGCATCCTCACAATCAGGCTATCCACAGCTCATCACTGGTGTCTGAAGGCAAACTGTGATTTGTCTCACTTATAAGTTCTTCTTGTAATGTAACAATATGTTGAATATCTACTATCTTCACTCTAGTCATGTTGACATCCAATACAGCCCAATAAAACTTTTTGCCATGATGGGAAAGGTCCATACCAGTACTATCTCAGATAGTAGTTAAAAGCTAGGTGGCAAGTGAGGCCTTGATATTGTGGCTATTCTGATTGAGGAATTGATTTCTTAACTTCATTTAATTTTGAATAATTAATATTTGCATTTAAATAGTCATATTTAACTGGTGTTGGCTATAGAGTACTGTGGTGACTAATTGCAGTGACTGTAGCAACTAGCGAGCATATCATAGGAATGCACGTGAGGAGGAATAAGCATCCAAGATAGGACTATAAACAAGTTATTTATTTGTGTTGATGTATGATAAACAGTCAGGCTACTGACATGGCCTCAGCCTCATACATGCATTTATTGAATAAGCAGTTAACAAGAACCTATACGGGTTTTAAATGGGGCAGGGGTGCGCAAGACACCATCCAAGGAGTTTAAAGGGGGCAAGACATTGGAAAGAGACGATATTTCACAGGGAAGGATCCTGACTCAGGCCTCGTGAGGGCTTCACGTGCCACGAGAGCTCCATTGCCCAGGGGCTTCTGGGTCATGGGCTGGCCCCAGGGGCTTCTGGGTTGTAGAGCAGTTAGTCAGTGAGTCCACAATTCGGTGGGGTGGCATACTAGAGCCATGGCATCCAAGCTTCGGTCAACAAGGCGGAGGACTAGGTCCAAGAGCCGGGCAGTGCGGGGTGCACGAGCAAGGCTGGTATCTTGTGAGGCAGGGTGTAATGTGGAGAATCTGGCTACCGTGACGCATCCAAGGAACATCATTTCTGGTCGCGAGGCCATCATGGCAGCCACGCCTCAGACTAGCTGGCTGACATCTCTGAGAGGCTTCAGAGCCAATACACGCCAATCTTTGATAAAAATGTGGACCTGCAAGAGATTGGGATTTGTCACGCTGTCCATTATGGCCCTACTGTTGCTGGGCTGCTACTTCAGCTGTGGTGAGTGCTGATTCCGGACTACACCAAGCGTCACTAGCGATCCATGGGTGGGGGCACGCCAACACCGTTCCTTTCCTCTCTGTGATCTTCTCCCTGCCCAAGCCAACTTTGGCCTGGGCACGTCTTGACGTCCTTCCTGTGTTTTGTCCCTCAGCCTCCTCAGTCAACCTCATAAATTCCTTCCCTCGCTGTCCTCACTGCCTGTCTTCTTTCACCTCCAGCCTCCCTAATCTTCCCACCTTTTTTATTGAGCAGAAGTTCAAACAGTATAAAGGTATGTTATAGTGAGTGGTTCAGGTGATTTAGTGTATTGAAATGTTCAATTATCACATTTATTTGGTTCTAAAATATTTTAATTCCCTCAAATTAAAACCTCTACCACTGACTGGTAATTCCCCATCCTATTTTACAGCATTGTTTTCAGGACTCAGTAGTACTCCATTGCATGGATATGCTACACTTTGTCCATCTGTCTATCAAATTTACCAGATTTGGGTTTCCCTTTTAGGGCACAATTGTGCTTTGGATTTTTTTGTACAAGTTTTGTTGTCATTTCTGGTACTACAGAGTGAACCCACCGGTGCAATACCACTGACCTACATGCTCAGACCTTTTTTTTTTTGGCACCGGGAATTGAACACAGGCACTCCACTAGTGAGCCACTTCCCCAGACCTATTTTATATTCTTTATTTAGCTACGCTGAATTCCTTAGCCCTCCCCATTGCTGAGGCTGGCTTTGAACTTGGAATCCTCTTGCCTCAGCCTCCCAAACCAATGGGATTATAGGAGTCTGTCATCATACCTGGCACTATTTCTTTTCTTTTTTTTTTTTTTTTTTTTGGTACCAGGCATTGAACTAAGGAGCACTTGAACCACATCCCAGCCCTATTTTGTATTTTATTTAGAGACAGGGTCTCTCTGAGTTGCTTAGTGCCTCCCTGTTGCCAAGACTGGCTTTGAACTAATCCTCTTGCCTCAGCCTCCCAAGCTGCTATGTTTATAGGCATGGGCCACTGTGCCCAGAATTTATTTATTTTAAGAAACCGTCTGGCCAAGTTGTGAAGGCATCTGAAACTTGTGATCCTTCTGCCTCCATCTCCTGAGTGGCTGGTATTGCAGGTGTATGCCAGCATGCTAGGCCTTTTACAAGTTCTTCTGTAGACATACTTTAAGTTCTGATAAATTTTTGGATTTATTTCTGGGCCACCAGTGTGGAATTATGGAGTCACATGGGAACTCCATATTGAACTTTTGGAGAAACTCTCAAGACTGTTTTATAAAGTGACTAAATAATTTTATATCTCCACCAAAAATATTTGAGGGTTCCAATTTCAACATTTGTTATCCCTACTTTTTGATTATAGTCATCCTCATAGATATGAAGTGGTATCTTCTTATGGCTTTGATTTGTGTTTCTCTAATATCTAATGAGATTAAGCATCTTTTCAGGGACTTTTGTTATGCTATTTGTATATCTTTGCAGAAATATATTTTCACATCATTGGACCATTTTTTAAAATGTATTGTTTGTGGTTTCATTGACAAATTGCAAGAATTCTTTATGTATTTTGTATATTGGATCCTTATCAGATAATGTGATTTGCAAATATTTCTTCCCATTCTATAGATTCTCTTTTTATTTTCTTGATAATGTTCTTTCATGTGCTAAAGTCCTTTTTATCTATTTTTCCCCTTTGGCTGCTTGGGTGTTTTTAGTAGTTGTGTGTGTGTGTGTGTGTGTGTGTGTGTGAGAGAGAGAGAGAGAGAGAGAGAGAGAGAGATCAATCTAAGAATCCATTGCCAAATCTAAGGTCATGAAGATTACTCCTATGTTTTATTCTGAAAGTTTTATTATTTTAGCTATTATATTTGAATTATTGATCTACCTTGTGTTAATTTTTTTATATGAGGTATGTTAGCGGTGGTTTAATATTGTTCTTTTGTATGTAGATATCCAGTTGTCCCAGCATTCTTGGTGGAAGAGATAATTCATTCCTTAGTAAACAGTTTTGGCACCCCTGTTGAAAATTAGTTGACCATAAATTTGTGGATTTATTTCTGGGCACCTAGTTTGATTCTTTAGATATTCATGTCTATCTCTTTGCCAGTACTATATACTCTTTTGATTACTGCAGCTTTATAGCAAGTTTGGAAGTTGAGATATATGAGTCCTCTGATTTTGTTCACCCATATTGTTTTGAGTATTTACTATATCTCGCAAATCTATGTAAATATGGGAGGAAGCTTTCCTATTTCTACAACAAGGGCATTGAAATCTTTATAGGGTTTTCATTGAATCCATAGCTCACTTTGAGCCATATTGCCATATTGACAACCTTATATTCTGATCCATGAATATGAGATGTTTTTCCTTTATTTGTATCAGTTTCCAATTTATTTGAGTAAGGCTTTGTTGTTTTCACTATATAATTCTTTATTTTTTAGATGTTATTGCAAACGAAATGGTTTTCTTTTCCAATTGTTTATTGCTGTTATATAAAAGCACAACTGATTTTTATGTATTGGTTTTGTATCCTGCAAATTTGCTACATTTGCTCATTAGCTCTAGTACATTTGTTTTCTTTTTTGAATTCTCTTGTCCTAATGCACTTATAGGCTGGTTCTCCCATTCAGTGTTGAATGACAGAGCATGTCATTTTCTTTTACCAGACATTAAAGGGAATTATCCTATAATTATATCATTATGTATAATGTTTATGTAGATGTTTTTTGGTAGATCACCAAATAGCAAATATTGGTGTGAAACATATTACCATAATACCTATTCACAGTAAATTATTTTTACATTTTCTCACATCTTTATCAAGATTCAATATCATCAGTATTCTGGATTCATAAAACATGAGATTTATACAGCTGTCCCTTTATCATGCTATAATATATAACAATGTATATGTGCAACTATTTATGAAAAATGTGATATCTAATAAAATTTCCTAGAACTCATGCTTAAATTTGTCTGGATCTGATATTTTCATTTGTCTATTTGCTATATTTTTGTGGCCTTTTCCAATATTCTACATATAAATATTATTTGTAAATGGAGATAATTTTACTTCTTACTTTCGACTTTGGATGCCTTTTATTTCCTTTTGTTGCATAATTTCTCTTGCTAAGGCAGTTATTATAATATTGAATAGCAGTGGTGATTGTGGGCCTGTTTGTCTTAATGGGAAAGCTTTCAAACTTTCACCATTGATTATGATGATAGCCATTGGTTTTTCATAAATGTTCTTTATCCATGCTGAGGAAAATTTCTTGTTTCTAGTTTGCTGAGGAAATTTGGATTTTGTCAGTTTTTTTCTGCATCAATTGTAATGATTTTTCCCTTCATCCTACTAATGTGGTGTATATTACATTGGTTGCTGTGCTTGTGATTTCTGTTGAAACATCTTTGTATTCCTGGGATAAACTCCAAGTGGTCACCATGGATATCCTTTTAATTATGCTGTTCCATTCGGTTTTCTAGAATTATGTTGAGGAATTTTGAATCCATATGTATAAATAATAATTGTGTGTAGTTTTCTTGCTGTGTCTTGATCTGGCTTTGGTATCACATTAATACTGGCTTCATAGAATTAGTTATGAAGTGTTCCCCCTCATTTTCCCTAAAACCTTCTTTACATTATCTCTGCCACATCTAATAAATTCCCTTACCTCACCACTTAAAGTACTAACTTCTGTCTATTCTCTAAAAGCCTTTTCACTTCTAACCTCACCTTACTAATCTCTCTTACTTCATTGCTCAAATTATTTCTTCTTCTTCCCTTTATAAATACCTTTCTTTACATATTCCCCCCTCATGAATCCCTTCCCATTCTCACCTCCTATTGCAAAGCTCTAATCTTTCTTATGTTTACTCACATTTAAAATGCCTTCTTTTCTCTCTAAAGCCTTTCCATCTCAAAGTATTTCCTTTTCTTACTTTGTGCTTAAAGGCCTTTACTTCCTCAATGATATGCTCAAATTTCTTCTCTCCCAGATCTCCACTTACAAACACATTTTACTCCCATCCCCCTCCCAGAGTAAATAACCATCTTAACTTCCCCTAACATGGGCCTTCCTTCTCTCACTAATGCATTCACTTCTTCACCTTCCCTTATATAGACATTTTCTCCCTTGCCTCTTCTCAGAGAGTTCTTACTTCGCTTATCTCCCCTAACATTTATTATCCTCCTTCCTTTATCAATTTTTTTTACCATGCTCTCCACTTACAAAATTATAAACTCCCCCACCTTCCCTAGCAAATACCTTCACTGCCTCCACTATCCTCACGGTTTTATTTTCCTTCCTTTCTCCCACTTCAAAGGCTTTCTTCCCTCAATTTCCCTTACAAAGAAAAAATTCCCTTTGCTCACAGAGTACTAAACTCCTATACCCCCTTTCCCTATAAAATTTACTCCTTCAACCATGTTCACAGAGGCCTTCTTTCTGTGGTTTTTGCCTAGGTCCTCCCTTTCTTATCCTCACAAATACTTTCCTTCCCTCATCACCTTAAAAGTCCTTATTGAACTTCCATTTAGTTTCCTTCATTTCTCAAAAGATAGTCCACCACATCCTTTGAATAGTCTTCATTATTGTTCTTTCCTCTGTTTTCCTCCTTAAGACTTTCCCTCCCTCAAATTCCTTCCTTTACCTCTTTGTTTATGTTCCTCCAATCTTTCACTTACTCCCTTCTCAGTATCCTTCTTTTAGCCTTTCAAAAGGTCTCCTCTCCAGATTTTCTCTCTCAAGTATCTAAAGGTAGTTGACTTCTTCCTTCAAAGCCTTCTTTTCCTGCTCCTACTGAATGATCTTGCTGCCTCACTTAAACTTTCCCTCCCCACCTCCTCCAAATTTCTCCCCCACTCACTCAGCTATTTTTTTCTTTTCCCTACTCTTCTATCCTTCCATCCCTAAGTCTAACATGGCCTTCTGAAAAGAGCCTGCTCTATCTTATGGCCATGATGGCCTGCTCTTTCTCCCAGTTCCCTCACAA